TTTTTGAAGATGAATAAAATTTCTTTTCGAAAATACGTAAATTGAAAATATATAGGTTTGCCTATATACCATTAAGTACATAAATTAATGAAGACATTATGGCATTGTTAAGTTATATAACAGTAAAAACCGTCTTTTTACGGGACCTGCCAAAACGTAATTTGAACATGACAACTGAATTCAGCGGTTTCAAGCACTCCAGTAATACGTGTATGCTTAGGGATCTACTTGACCATTGACCTCTTATATTTACAATGGTATAGATACTACAGGACTCTGAATACATTTTATATTATGATTTATATTTCACATAGCTTTCAAAAACTCCTATTCTCGCTGAAGAATCTTAACCTATTACACTTAATTTACCTGCGCTGAACATATTTTTGCTGAATAAATATACGAATGGTGACATATAAAAATGTATTTACTCTGACGATATTTCTATTTACCACTTAAATCAATTACGCTAAATGCATCTACGCTGATTATGACAATGACGGGATCTACGAAAGCCTTTATGCTGTCTTCCCTATTATGCTATTAAGCTGAATGCTTCTTCTACGCTGCTTGGAATACATTTATCTACATTGCTAACGCACTCTAATAAGAATCAGCTAATAAGAACGAATAACATTACCCTAGATAAATGTACCCGAAATGTATAAATGATTACTTTATTATTCGCTGATAGTATTTCACGTATCACAGTGAATATATTTCCAATTATTAGGATTACTGTGTCTTGATGGATCAAACTAAATGTGTCTCTTGCTTAAACTGATCATATCTTCATAATTTAGCTGAGTGTATCTACATAGTATGTATCAATGATGTATGTATCTACGCAAATTACCCGAATATATCTACTTGTATTGTGATTTTCAAACGGGATGTTCATACACCGATGTATGCTGTTATGTTTATAATGTCCCTACGTAAATTACGCTGAATGCATCTACGCTGAAAATATCTTAGCTGATTACACTGACTGTATCTTATTTTGTGTCAGTGAATGCACTTGGCTTATCAAGTTGAATGTAGATGCACATGCTCTTGGGTTTGGATCAGAGAAATAATTGCATGGTTATTTTGAAGTAAAGGAAAGTTTGTCTTTTCAGTTTTGTCTTTGCCTTTTGCCTTTTACATTGTATCATGCCATTTCCCTCAGTTCCTGTTGTCGTTTAGTGAATAGGTTGTAAAGTTTGAAGCCCATTATGTTGAAGTCTTTATAGCTTTTGCCCCTGCGTGTTGACGCACTGTTATATATTGTCCTTGTGTGTTGACGCTCTTTTATGTATTGTCCTTGTGTGTTGACGCTCCATGACTCTTCCTCCTTATGTGTCGACGCTGTGGTCTAGATTTTCTCTGGCTAATGTTGTATTTTCGTTTGGTCAATGGTAATGACTAACAATGTTGTATTAATGCCTCGGTATAATTACAGGCGCATACTGTTACTCCTTGCAATGTGTAAGCCTGGGCTAGGGCGTATATCTGCTACCGAAGGATCACCCAAAACTGTATATTTAACGCAAACAATAGATAAGCTATTTTCTATTTTTGTTTTGCCCGCAGAGGGACTACCGGACCAACTATGGACCAATTACGAGACATTTGTCTTGAACAACAGAAGCGGTCTTTATTTTGGTGCGGCATTATTTGCACTTGGATTCACAACTGTCATTATCACAGGATTTGTGTCCTTATGCCGAAGGTAGTTATATTTTAATTAATTATTACTATTGGCATTAATATATACTCGTTAGAGTAGTCTGTTTTTCAGATACTACATGAGCGGTATTTAATCGAATTTTCACTTATTTTGAATAAAACAGGGCACTGATAAAGCTAGAGCATAGGATATGCATGTTTCTATTCATAAAAACCCATCTGCGATGCTTGCCGTTAAGAATTACGGGAGAAAAGCCAATTTTTAACATATATATCATGCAATACGCCTTAGTGGTTATATCAATCGTCTGGTAGTCATCTCGTGTCTGTAGCCTTCATTGTGGGACAATGTAAAAACAATAATTGAACAGGATAAATATCATTTCTATTTACATTAATAATCATTGTTTGAAATGTATTATTCAACATTTCATGAATATTTGAAGGAAGATTAAAACGTTTCAACTTTGATCTAGGTCATTTATTGGGAAACAAAACTGTATAGCCCTTTAAACCATTAATATACATGACAAATACTGGGGCATGGTCGTTTATGCGGAACAACCGGTTTGACCGTCTTTAAATGTAACATTTTCGGATATAAAACCTGGCGGACCTGCAAATGTTTATGCAGGCCTTACAAGCTTTGTTAAGGCTCGCCTGAAAGCAGCATCAGGTTACTAGGTCCGACCCTATTTACACCGTCGGAAACCCACGTTCGATTTCACTATCGTTTATCGACCGTCGATAAACGCTAGTACAACGGAACGTGGGTTTCTGACGATGCCCTTTTTAACAAGCGAACAACTGTGGTCCAACCGGTCCGGCCGTTTAAACGATAAACGGCCCTGGTATCACTCGTCTGGTATAACTGTGAAATCAGATATAACCACACGAGACTATTACACTGTTTTGGTTATTCAGAAGAAGTTGCTTAGTGTTTAGTAAAATTTACCCATGTGGTGTTGAAAGTTTATCATGGTCACTCATTGTAAAAACTTAATGACCTTTCACTTCAGTATGCTAAATATCTCTTGATTATTCAAATTAGGTTCTTATATTTTAAGATTTAAACGCTATGACCTAAACCTGTGGCTAAGAAAAAACAATTTATTTCGTCGCGAACGATACAGTCAATACGCCGATATTGATAACTGCGCACACTATATGTTGAATCATATGATTTATCCACGTTTGTTAGTGGCTTATAGCAAGAGGCCCATGGGCCTAAACGGTCACCTGAGAAAATTATAAAGTCCTCAAATTGAAGAATGTTCTTTTTTTCAAATTGGCGCAGAGTTACTTGGAGAAAGGGCATACACCCATACTTACCTGGAGACCAGGCATACACATGCTGTATAGATGAATTACATAGATGAATGAACAAAGGAAGTTGTAAATGTCCTAGCAAATCACAAACCATGATGGGCATCTGGAATTTTACAATCAGCATTAAAAGTGACAAACTTGGTCAAAACCTCATTAGGAACACTTCTGCTAAGTTAGAAGTCAATCGCCGTAGCCTTTCTTGAGAGGAAGTAAAACAAAATCAATGAGAGGTCAGAGTGACCATCTTGGATTTTCTGTTCGACACAAAAAGTCAGAACACTTTTTCGTAACCTCTTAAGGAACATTTGTACAAATAAAGAAGTGAATTGCTGCAAATAATCTTGAGAAGTCGAAAATTTCTCATCTCAGCAAGCTCAAGTCCCATAGTCTCCAATAGAAATTAAAATTTCAAAGTACCATAACTCTGCCAGTTACTGTCTGATTGAGAACACTTGCGATCTTGTTAGAAATGTTATTATTATAAAGCAGAATAGCAACATTTATTGAAATTCACGACGACAGACGAAGACTGATGGCAATAGGTCACCGTGACCTATGGTCAGGTGACTTAAAAATATCAGCAAATTGAAATTGTCAGCGTGGATTTTTCAAGGATATTAACGAAGGTCAAAAGCAAATATAAACGATGAATCTGTATAATGAGAAACTTTCGCACTTTCATGGTGAAGATACCAAACCATATTTATTGGCCATGCTTATTATAAAGCCTCTGACTTAATGCTAGATATCTACTCACTTTTTTGCTAAGGATCACCTATATTTTGAAAAAAAATCAAAATGTTAGAAAGGATATTATGTTTTCCTTCCTAACTGTTTTGGGCGAATATGTAAGCCGTCCAAAGCGTCCTGTGTGGGTGTGTTCAGTCAACCATCAAAGCGCGTACGAGCGTTTCCAAGGGTACAACCCTTTCAAAAGCTAAGATAGGCTAAGGAAGGCGTTTTTCAAATTGTCAAGGAAATCAAATTGATGAATATTCTTTTCGTGTTTTTGTTTTGATATGGCACAAAGACGAACCAGACAACGATTAAAATGACTGAATGAATAGGGGCATCGGTATGCTGCAAGCTAGCATATTTCAATGTCAGGTTGCAGCAGACATTTGGGTGTCTCAACGTGTGGTGGCAAGAATACATGTGGAATCGTTTCCAAGCTAACGGAAACCCTTCCAGAAGTCTTACTGGAGTTCGTTCTAGGGCTACACCGTAGAGCCGATACTGATTTTTGCTCATACAGGCACGGCGTCACTGGTTCCAGACTGCCACAGCTTTACGAAATGACCTTCTTAATGTTTCTGGTACCCAGATAACCACTCAGACAGTTAGGAACCGTCTTCATGACGCTGGTTTAAGGACACGTAGACCAGCAATGCGAGTTCCCTTAACTGCCCACCATGTAAGGGACCGATTATATTGGGCCAAAGCTCACAGCACTTGGACTCTTCATGAATGGGAGCCGGTTCTTTTTACTGACGAGTCCAGATTCTGTCTCGACTTCACCGACAGGCGTGCTGGAGTATGGAGACAATATGGGGAGAGGTTCCAGGCAGGTAACGTTGTGGAACATGACCGATATGGCGGAGGTTTAGTGATGGTATGGGGAGGCATAAGCCTTCGTTGGAAAACTAACCTCCATTTCTTCCATAATGGTACCGTTACGACCCGGATTCCCTGCGATGAGATACTTGATGCATATGTCAGACCCTACGCTGGCGCTATCGGTCCTTACGGACAATAATGCTAGGCCTCATAGAGCAAGGGCGAATGAGCAGTATATACAGCAAGAGACTATTCAACGAATGAATTGGCTAGCCTGCTCGCCGGATCTTAATTCCATCGAGCATATGTGAGACATGCTGCAGAAAGCTCTCTCTGCCAGAAATGTTCAGCCAAGAACGCTCCAGGAGCTTGGAACAGCTTTGGTAGCTGCGTGGAACGCTATCCCACAAAACCGGACACGCGATCTCATTCGGGGCATGCGCAGACGTTGTGAAGCTGTAATTTTAATGGTAATCCTTTTCCTGTAGCTCATTATCCGACTGTAATTATGATTTTTGGAAATTTTGCATGCTGATGAATTAAAAGAACATCATTTTTTCAAAATTAATCTCAATGTAAACCAAATAAAATATTTATTTTCACATATGCCCCAAAATAAAAGTGATCCTTAGCAAAATGTGAGTAGTATATATATTTTAACAACGAGAACCTATGCACTTGGTATATTATTTCGCATTCAATATTTTGACTGCAAACTAATAGGATCTATCATTCCTGTGTGATTCTAGTATTGAGATAGAAATCGCAACCCGGGAGTAAGATATTTTAAGCTTTGCATGAAGTTTCGGCGAATGTTATACATCATCAAACGATTCTTGCATTTCCTTCACATTATCTTATCGCAGAACATCCTACAACTGTAAACCCAATGCACTGATCTTTCATAAAGGTGCAAAAAATATGTGACAAAGCATTGCATTAAGTCATGACACAATGGTGATATTTTCAGGGTAAGAGCGCGTGTGAGCTTCCTTCCCTAGGTAGGGGTTAGACATGTTAACTTTTTCCCTTACAAAAACGGGCATGCATCTGTGAAGTTTATTTAGTTTGAATAAAGCACCTTTGCAGTGTGATAAACATTCATTGATTATCGTGTTTTTTTTTCAACAGGACTTGTGGTGGTAATGCCAGTACTAAAAAGCTTTCTGATAATCCCAGAAGTTCTATAGACAACCCACTCTACATCTCGAGTCGAGAGTGCGCCATCTCCAGAGAACAGCTAGTCGCGGCTGAAGACGGTTTTGAAGACGGTCATCAGATTGTTGATACAATAGAATCCGCGGAACTAAATGAAGAGCCGACAGTGATATACGAAAATGAACAGTTTTTCCATACAGCAAAACGAACAAAGTCTACTGAAGTGGAAAATGTTATACATCCTGAAGAGGGAGGAAATCGTCGATCTAAATACGCGTACACGCAGGTTATAAAACAGAGTACTGCAAATGCTGAGGAAAAGAAGGGTAAAGGACATGCAAGTGACATTGACAAGAGGACCAAAGACATAAAGTAGGATGGATATTCCAAAGTGATCAAGAAAAAAATCAGCAATTAGAACCAAACGAATTCACATATAAACTTGAAATAGATGATATTCCCCAGGTTCACAAATGAACTTCGAAGATAGAAAGACAAGTAAAACAACAGCTAGCAAACAGGACAAAAGAAGTCATGTTATAGAAAGTGGGGATATACATACAGATTTGCCAGCAGATTACCAGGTAGCCGCTGTATTTAACACAGTGAACGGATAGTATAACGAAGGGGAGTATATGAACGTTACAGCTCCCACAATTTCAATCTTCGGGGACGAGTTTTACTTGGATATGACGCACAAAGAAAAGGACCCCAATGTTTACATCAACTGCACTACCACACCCAAAAAATATAGACAGCACCTGTTCGTATTATCCGGTTGATGAAGTTAGCCAATACATCCGATACCCCATTTCCCACCTATAATGTTTTTGTGTACAAGACAGTTTATGAGTTAAACGATATGACGTACAAAAGCTTTTTGCAGTCAAATCTGTATTGTTGTCTTTTAATGCAGTTTCTCATTACGTTTAATCACTACAATTGGGAACATTAAATTTAGTCACTGAACTCAGGTAGTCTTGTCAGGGTGGTGGTGGTACAACAGCGTTAATCGTACTTCAAACCTGTTAAAATATTGATTTTGAAAGTGATTTTTGGCCATTTAACCTTACCTGATGACCACCAAAGTAAAACTTAATTATAGAATAAGATATAATATATTTTGTTGGGGGATTGTTTGCCTATCACTTTTGATGAAATAAATAAGTCTGTCGCTATGACCACCCGAGTGACAATAGCGACTACCGCGAGACAATCACTATTGACCAGTCCCTGAGGGCATCTTCTCTCGAAAGCAGTTACCGGGTGTAAGGTTCAGGATTAACTCATTTCTTTTGACGTTTTTATGTACCTTTGCAATTAGAAGTTTACATTACTTTCAGTATGTAATTTCATGTACATTACAAACAAAATGCAAAATTATTATTATTATTGCATCAACGCATGGGTCGATTAAAGCATTTTAATTAACGTTAATAGTAATGTTTATATGACACCTTATTGAACATAATGTATATGATATTTATAAAAAAAATAGCAAAGGAGATATCTTCAAAGTTCCAACCGTTTCGGATGCAGAACAATTTGTATAGTGAAAAAATCCACATGAGTCCTATGTGACATTCTTACATTTGGAGACATTTTATCCTCCGCTGTGTCCATTTTAAAAAAGTTTTTTTCATGAACATGCTTATTCCTTATATTTTCATACTATGCACAAACTATTAGTCGACCTGACGTCTACTCATCAATTTTACGGCGGCTGTTTTTAAAGAGTGACTTATGAAAAAACCTAACTGTCCGGAATTTTTCTAATCAACAATAATCTATTCCGTTTTCGTTTACGTATCCTAGTTGAAACGTTTTAGGTGGCATGGAAATATTCCACGATAAAACGAACGCACTTGGACATTACTATAGGCAGAGCAAAAAATAATGCACTATTTCAGAGAAAAACAAACAATATATAAATAATAATATGTCATGTTTTCACGCGTCTACTTAATTATATAACGTATCTTAAAATCTACATGTAGCTTGACCTTGTTTCATAAAAGAATAACGCAAACTAGCAATAGCCAACTCTAGGTTCAACCGTTTCAATTGGTTGAACCGGAGACGCGAAAGGGGCCTCAGTAACTCCAATTGCACTCACAAAAAAACGGTATTTTGACCAATTGAAACCGAGGTCTCTACTGACGGAATGTAACAGCTGAAGATGATAATAATCTATTGATGAATTTGAGGTATGTGTTGTGTTTTAACAGATTTATGCTGTCAGCACCTCAAAACTTACGTTGACGTCTGTGTCGGAGAATTCCACGTTTTCATCTAGTAATGCGCTTTGGCCGAAACACTAGACATCTAGGTCTTATCTGTCAAAATGTGTTAAATC